TTTCAGCTGATGTCAATTAACTCAGCCAAAAACAAAAAAAAGTAAATCATTTTCTATTTTATGTCAGTTGTCATCTAGGAAAGCTATTTGTGTTGAGACTGCATAAATATTTCCGCTATGTCCCATCTTGCTGCTATTGACTCCATCTCTTGGGAAGACACTTTGTGATCTTGTTGTTCTCAGTAGGCTATGTGCACAGGAAGCCATTAAGACAATCACACAGAAACACACACATGCACACAATGGACCTAAAGGACATCACAAAAGACAAATAGAGATAACTGAGGTGGAGGTGTCTTCACTCTGGATCAGCGTGAAATTAATCCAAATGATGCTCCTGGTGTTACCGAAGCTCAAACAGGAACACAAAGGCTCTCATCATGGACAGGGACCCAAAGGAAATCAACAAGCGTCACATCATACAGTCAACACAGTGTACACATATCTATACAAAAATTTATATACGAAATATGGTATGTAAATGGTGGCAGCAGTCACATTTAGACTTTTTTTGTTGTTTTATTTTTAAATGTTTAAATGTATATTAGAGGTTAAATTAGACATTCTCTGATGTACTTCAGTTTTGCCGTCTTACATTAACACATAGTGGGCGCTAGGCTACTTCGTTTGTAATGCTACACTACCCTCGTATGTTAGACATTGGTATTGCAGGACTTTCAAAGACAAATACACACACACGGATTCTAATTTACTCAGTTATCTCAGTTATATTTAGATGTTTGGAATGAGTATAGATCTAAAATAGTTTCCCTCATGATGTATCTGTCCACTCAGGTGCGCTTCGAGGATGTGCTAGCAGAGCCTCAGTGTGAGGGCACTCTGTTTGAGGTGTCAAGACTCCAGACGTGTCACGTCTCACGAGTGAGTGAACGATAAATTCCCATAAAGCAAAAACATCTAACTGCATATTAATTAAGGCTTAATATTAGTATATTAGTTTTGATATGGATCTGGCAATATTTTATAAATATATGGTATATGTAAATGACCATTTATGTTAGGCTACATTATGAATTAATGTCAACGTTTTGATAACAGTAGTAGAACTGTAATCAGATTATCTAAGATGGAGCTGGCAATCAACAATGCTTTTAACACCATTTATTAACCTTATTTTCTCCATGTACTCATTTTTAACACTAAAATATATTTGTATTGTTCTCATTATTAATCCCAAGACGTCATATAACTGACGTCGTGGGACGTCTTTTGACCATACGTCAACATCAGCCTTTTTAGGTTACCCTTAAACGTCGGTTAGATGACGTTATAGGATCCTAACCCTACCCCGTCACTTAACCGACGATAAAGGTAAAGCGTCAGTTGTGTGACGGCCTGGGATCGTCATGTAACCGATGTTTAAGGGTACCCTAAAAAGGCGGATGTTGACGTATGGTCAAAATATGACTTCTTGGGATGAGACTGTGATATAAAAAATAAGTGTTAACATTCAACATCTGTATTAAAAAAATAATTAACCTACTGTAGCCTACTATTAACTTAATAGGCTACAGTAAAAATATAGCCTAGGTTTTTGCCTAGATCATGACCTAATGTTGAACCTTAAAGGTGTTGCCTGTTCACAGAAAATAACTGATATAGTAAAATAGTAAATAAAATGTCCACCCCTGCCTTTTAAGTCAATCAAAAATTAAACATAATCTATAACAGCTTTTATTGTGTGTGGTGATTTTTCCCCCATTTTAAATGTGTTCTAATTATAATAGAATTTTGCTCAAATTCAAGACCAATAACACGTTTATGTGGCGGAAGCTTAGGTGACTTTTATTCCTCCATCTGTCCTTTAACATAGACAAAGTACAGTGCATTCCCTGTTTGTGCAAATTTGAAACATGTGGGTCCAGGATTAGAGCCTTGTGGAACACATTGTACCATTTTTCCAGAATAGGTGCACTTAAAATTGCATGGTTTGTCAGGTAAATCAATACATTTACCATAAAGGCTTATCTGACTCCAAAGTACAGCCAAGTAGTCAGCTGTGTCAAAAATCTGGACTGAAGTCCAAAAAAAGACCAGAAAATAATGATATGTCTGTCTTCTCTCCTTTTTAGGCTGATAGTTCCCAGTGTACAGCTCTTGGTCATAAACATGCACTGGATAAAGGTGGCCTGGCATAATGTGCTGGACACTGCGATCTCCCCCTTCTTCAGAGAAGATTCATCAGAATTCGTTTGGAAAAATATGGACAGCATTACAGAACACAGTAGGATCAGCTTTTAATTGCAAAGTTTTCCAGAATGACATAAATACATAAAGTATATACATGACATACAAGCATTTCTCTTTAGTTTCATGTTGGACATGCAATTGCAAAATACTTTTTTCCACTTCCAACAACTTTTTTCCACTTCCAACAACACTTCCTACGCAACAAATTCTGTATGGGGTGAAAATGGGTTGAAAGTTATTGTGAGAATGTGTGCTGTGTTTGACAGTTACATAACTAAAAGACGATTGTCTTCTTCTGTGGTGGCCTTTTTAAACAGATACAATCAGTCTCGAAAAGTCACATTTGCATACCAATGATGCTTGCATTGATCCCATCTTTCTTTGACAGGTTTTTAATAGTAGACATCATCATTTGAGATATTTTATGTGTAAAGCTGAGCTCATGCAAATCCCTGGTTCACACTTGAGACACCAAAATTGCTGGAAGAGCTGATAGATGAGCACTTTTTTCAAGCCTTTAAGAATGAATAAAATAAAAACAATACATCTCTTGAGGCGAAAGCTGCTCATGGGAGAGTTTGAGAATAATCTCATCCTCTTTCTTCCTCATGTTGCATCTGCTTAGAAAATTACTTGTTTAAAAACTGTGATTGCTAACTGATTACTAGGCTTTGGCTGCTGAAAACCAAAACTTCAAGCAATAGGTTTGCATATTAATACAGCAGCCAGCTTCTAATTTTAATTCACACTTTTGAATATTCTTCTGCTTGTTTATGTAGTAAAGAGTAGAGCGGCCTGTGGATCTTAAGTAAAGATGAGGTTGGTTCACTCCCCACTGTTATAAACGGTCCCACAGATATAAACGGTATAGACACAGGCATGTCTGGGTGGAGTATTTTTGTTCTTCTCTCCCTCAGGATCTGAACCCCATCCCAGCTCACAGAACACTGAGAATATTTCTCTAATTAGCAGAAAGACATTCCACACACACCTTCGGCACACTTAAAGCTCTCTCTTCCTATTTTTGGTGCATCTGAGCAAATGTTCAAAAATCCTTTTTTTAACCTTCTAGTGTCATTCATTATAAAGATAGACATAATAATGAAAAGTGATGTACAGCAACTGCAGGATTACACAAAAGCTGAAACTGTTACATAATTCGTTTTTATTAAATAATAAAAAAAAACAAGGTAGCAGCAAATGTTATGGTGTTTATGTCAATGAAATTATGCAAAGTGATGCACAACACGCAAAGGCGTTATAGGGACCTTTTTATCTCAATTCGAGAACGTAAAAAAATCTTTCCATCTTTTAGCAGTAAAAAAAATACCTTCTTCGTTTATTTATTTTGTTGTATTCTTTTGGGTTTTTTTTAAAAAAAAAAAATTTGAGAGAATATAAGCTTTAAAATGTTTTAAATTATTTTACATGTTATTAAGTGTTAGAAAATAATTAATTTATTTGGTTATTATATTTGTATTTTCTTCGAAATTAAAAAACATATTGAAACAAATGAAAATATATTTAAAAAATTATATCAGCTAAAAATAGAACTGAATTTAAAATGAATAAAAACTATTCGCGAAATTATCAACTTAACGTGAGTTGCACTTCGACACGGCACAGTGTGGATGAACACAATGTTTGAGGAGAGTGCAGCTGTCAATCATTGCACCGGTGTGGATACTGGCATTCAGAATCACAGATTATTCTTTTTGGAAGTACTGTATGACCAACAATAATTTTCACCGCAAAATGTCCTCTGAACTACAGTAGTAAGAAACATCCACTTTTGTTCTGGTTCTGACATTGCAATAAATCGTGCTCATTAAAGCTAACAATTTCTTACCATATCACGCAAAATCATGCAAATTTAATTTGTTCTCCAGTTGTTAGTTAACAACGTCAGCATTGCGTGACTACATGTAATATCCTTCCGATATGTAACTTATCCTTGTTTCCGCATGGTCCGGTTGCAGTCTCTTTTTTTCTGTAGCCACTCCGAAGTCCAAACGAAGTCTTTTGCATTTTACAGCGGGTGAATCTGTTGTGACTGGTGATTGTCGTTTAAACTTTCTGGATACGCCATCAAATTGATAAGTTTAATTATATCAAGTGCTGTGAGAAAAGGCTATAAATTTCCACCTCTAACATCCTCACACACAATATAGCCTACTAGCCGAGACTCCTCCTTCATGTGTCGATGTGTCCCAGATGTGACGAAATGGCGCAATGACATGCTCGAATCTCCCGCGGAAATCAACCACTTGAATTAAAAACATTATTACAAGCATACCGTTTTGAGTCGAGCTATGGCAAGCAGATAGTTTTGAACACTGGCTGGTTATGTATTTTCTCAAATATGTATTTTGGATCATTTTTAACCTAATAGAAAGCTACAGACTGCAGCTTTAAATTGGATTTAAAACCAAAATCAATTTTTAAAAAATAAAAGCTTATTTAAAATAGCAAATCAAACAGAATCTCATTCTCAACAATACTAAAAGAACACTGAAATAGTTTAACACATATTAATGCTTTGAAAATGTCAATATGTATTGTAAAGTCTTTGGGCATCAGTTTTCAATGCAACACTTCAAAGTGGAAATTCATGCCACTGTGCAACTCCTGCCTGGCTGACCCCGCAGCCGTGTGTGAAATGTGACATGGCCACTGGTTTCCCCTTCAAGAGGTGCTTTTACCAAGTGTGTGAGTTATGGACTGGGCCGTATGGGCTGTGTGGGGCAGAATAGGTAATGGGTGGGGGTAGAGGAGGGTAATGTACTGAGGGACAGTCAGCGTGAGCAAGAGAGAGAGACAGGAGCCCTGGCTGGTGCAGCTGTCCCTCGCATTCCAGGCGTGTCGTCAGTCCACAGATTGGAGAATTAACTGGGACTAGGGACTGTGGGGCCATTCCGACACTTTTCCTTCAGGCGATAACTTAGTTTGCTTTACTCTCCTTCCTTTCGGACACTTGTGTAATACATAAATCCGGCTCTGACCAGTCTTGGGCCAGAGGCCCCCAATATGGCGGACCAGTATAACACCAACGAGGAGAAAATCCTGAGGGATAGTCACACCAAGGAGATTGACTTGATCAACAGGGACCCAAAGCAGATCAATGAAGACGTTGTGAAGGTATGTGTGTTTTTGGTTTGACAAACAAACTTGACACTCAAACTTTGCTATTTCATTTGAAATGCCAGTTAAATGAAAAGAAAAAAAAATGTTGGTTTTGGGAAGTATTTGCAGAAATGAATAGCTTGGACACACACAAAAAAGTATATTACCTTTTTTGTTCAGTCAAAATAGCACTATAAGCTTATGTTTGACCCAAATGTGTACAAATAGCTATAAATACATTTAAAAAAAAACTGATAAAGCATGCAAACTATTCTTAAACTTCCTAAATGGTGGAATTGATATACAGTAAGTGGATCGATCTGGTCCGTAGAGACAGACTTGCTTGTGTGTGAGCTGCACTACACTTTATGATGCAGCTACATGGCATGACCCAAAAATAGCACCAAATCTACTTCTGCCAGGACAGGCCATATTATAAGTATTTATAGAAGGGGGTAAAAGGGTGTGTCGGACAGTAAAATGTATGACTTCTTCAGTAGCTCCCATGTGTTTAAATAATTCACTAGATTAGTATGGGAGATTGTGCTATTTAATAATCCGTGTATATAAATTAATACAGGATGGTAAAAATTACACTACGGTGTTCTTTCACTGTTGACTGTGAGAGTAAGATCACTGTTGTCATTAGCAACACTTTGTGTATCTCTCACTATGTAATAAACAATCAATCAATCTATCTATCTATTTATGGAGTCATGATCCTTCGGAGCGATTTGGTGCTCAAGAAACATTTTATATTATAATCAATATTGAAATTTTTTATTGTTTCGGAAACTGATACACCTTCAGAATGCAGAAAGTCTAAAAGAACAGAATTTATCTGAAATATAATTTAACACATCTTTTATGAACAAAAGTTTTTTTTTCAATCTCCATCTCATTCAAGAGTTTAATTCCAAATGTTGTCAGTACTGCGTGTTAGTGTCCAAGCTGCATTTAGCATATTTACTGGATATTTCTCGGTCAACTCTTAAATAGAGGTTACATAAAGATTTGAAATACCTTACTGAAATAGTTTGTCTACTCTCTATAGTTGTTATGAGATTGAAGCTAAAATAAACAAGCTGCCTTACTGATGGGGGGATTTATGTATCAAATGTCGCTGTTTGGAGAATTAATCATCATCCATTTTAGGAGCACAACCAGAAGCAAACCCATGCCGCATGCCTGCCAGATCACATTGACTGTTCATTTCTCAATCTTTGGAAGCAAATCTCTCCTTCTTGAAAAATTGTACTAACCAGTAATGTTCCCATACCCCCCTCCCCCCTCCTCCCAGGTGGATTTTGAGGATGTGATAGCCGAGCCCGATGGCACCCACAGTATGGATGGAGTGTGGAAGGCCAGCTACACCACCTTCACTGTCTCCAAGTACTGGTGCTACCGAGTGCTGTCCGCCATCTTTGGCATCCCAGTGGCGCTGCTGTGGGGCTTCTGTTTCGCATGCATCTCCTTCTGTCACATTTGGGCAGTTATGCCCTGCATTAAGAGCTATCTGATCGAGACCCAGTGCCTGAGTCGAATCTACTCTCTCTGCATCCACACCTTCTGTGACCCCTTTTTCGAAGCTCTGGGGAAAATTTTCAGCAGCGTACGGGTGGCATTACGCAAAGAGGTTTAGATTTCCTAGACAAGTCAAGGTTTACATGTTCGGTCCTACAAATAGCGGATTTTGGGTAAAAGTTCCCTTAAAATGAAAGAAATGCACATGTGCCCCTATGCATTGTTTTATGTTCTCACTGTATGTAAGAGGCTTTGGGAGCAATTCAGAATTAGGCCACCTGCTTGTTCAGAGAGACATACTGTGATGATGAAAGGCCTCTCTGACTGACAATGGAGAACAAGTCTTATCTGATATCATGGGGTTTCTAAGTTTGACAGATTAAAATGGGTATGTTGCTGCGTGTGGTATTTTTATCATGATAATGTCAGGTGTATTCTGTACAACTACTAATTAAACAGTTCATTTTAAACAATAATGGTTTGAATTGTGCTTTATATATAGGTTAAATGAGTGTATGATGAGAATAAAACATTTCTTACAGGGTTAGTTCACCCAAAAATTAAAATTAATTATCATTAATAACAGTCATTAATTACTCACCCCCATGCTGTATCAACCCCGTAAGACCTTCGTTCAAGAGATTTCCACGACGCATGCGCGAGAACTGAAGTTGTTGAAGGAGATCGCAATTCAGGCCTACAAGGAAGAAATGGAGTAGTCGAATAAAGTCGTTATTTTTGTTTGTTTTTTCGAACAAAAAGAATTCTCGTCGCTTTATAAGTTGAGCCACTGTTGTCACATGGAATATTTAAACATTTTCTTCATTGACTTTCTAGGCCGTCAAGTTTCGATCCCTTAGGGAGCCTATGTAGCAGTGATCCACCTCTTAAATTTAATCAAAAATATCTTCATTTCTGTTCCGAAGATGAACGAAGGTCTTACGCGGTTGAAACAGCATGGGGGTGAGTAATTAATGACTTAATTTTCATTTTTGGGTGAACTATCCCTTTAATTTGTGTAAAGCAAATTAACAGTTTGCCTAATTCATTCAAAAAAAATAAAATAAAAAATAAATCACCGAAAAGGACATTGGATATGATTTTGTCACTTAAACTCATCATGATGTAGTGTTTCGTTCTTTGTGTAATTTCACATTTTATAAGACACTTTTATTGAAAAATATTGGCTATAATATAATGATTTTACAGTGTGATAAATTTGCTTTCAACTCTTCACTTTAAGATGGATTTTTTATATTCCACTTGTCAACACATTTACTCACAGTTAGACATCAACACAACAGTTTATTTCAATAAATAAAATCTACAGCTACACATATTAAATGTAAATAGGCATTATATTTTTCAGGAGGAAAAATCAGTAGCTTTTTAAATGGGAAAAGTAACAATAGTTTCAGTGAATAGAGTATTTAAAAATTATAAAATAAATATATTTTTCTGAATACAGCCTTTTTCATTTTCTCTTTCCTTCTCATCTTTCAGCACTCGTAAACAATTATGTAAACTTTCCTTGTCCTCTTAAACATGTTTTCTTCAAAATGTTTTATAAAGATGAAGCAACAAACGTAATCATAAGTATTTAGAGCAATATTAAGCAAAATATGTAAGTGGAATAAACACTTTAATCTTACTGATTACAATACTCTTTCACACAAGACAAACAACCATAAAAATGGAGTAAACAACCAGTCCTTCACTTTTAAAAACAAACAGGGTGTTTGTCATATTTGATTACCATGATACATTGCAGAAACATTTGGCAAAGAGATGTGGTCCTATTATAGACTGGACAGTAAAGCTTACATGTAAAAGAACAGTGGTAACGAGAACATGTATGTGCCTAGAATGTGCTTGTGTTCTTTAAAACAAACAAACAAACAAACAAAAATAATCTATTTTGACAAATCAAGTTAAAAATTAGCAACTGGCCATATTTCTCAGTAGCCCACCTTGTTCTCAAATCTGCATGTACTGTAAGCTGTTTTGTGTAGAGACTGACAGTTGCCTCCTTTTAATGTATAAGGGGTGTTTTCTCGACAACAATGTATTAAAAATGGAAGATTTGTGTACAGAGTCTACAGACAACAACTTGTCAAAATGATCCTCGATTACACGGATCCGCGAAAAAGACTAAAACGCTGTATTATTCATGCCAGGCCAGTAGTTGGCGATACTTTGTAAAGAAACACTATGCGCCTAAAGAGGGAATGCATTGACGTCACATTCCCACTGGAACCACCCCCCTCAGCCTGACTGAGTGGCAAAAGATCTGTTGCGTGACTGGATTTAATAGGGGAAACTGCGAAAATGCGACTAAAACGAACTATTTTATCAATTTAAACTAAATGTTGGACTCAATATAGTGTTCCTTACAACTTAGGCGATCCAGTGATCCATGGATATTGACATGCAGCCAGGAATCGTGTTGCCTGACATTTATGTTTGCCTGATTTCGACACCGGGGACATAAAAGCAATATAGACCTAAACATAAAGCAAATTTGCCTGTGAATGCTTTATATAAATACAAGGTAGCTCTAAATCCGGGTGATCACTTATATCAGTGTTATATGGGCCTATATCATTATATCGTCCAGCCCTAAAACTTTATAGTACTTTTTTTTTTTTTTGGTCAGTGTTTATTAAAAAAACCATCCAATAATGCAGAATATGCAGTGATAGATATGTAATTGATGAGTTGTTAATATACAGTAGCCTATTTAACAATACAAAATATACGGCTATGGTTTTACACCTAAATTCAGCATATTGACACAAAAAAATAACTGCAAATCCACCTTTCGCTGACTGGAGTCCAGTTGTTTCTGTGAATTGCAGCGATCCATTTGCTCCTCTTTCTATAGCAGTCTGTAAAAATATACCTCCGATTTTTTTGTCAAATCTAGTTGTACAGTCAATCGCAAAGCTCTTTCCCTCGTTATATGTGTTGTGTTTGTTTTTCGCGACATTCACGCTGAAAACAAATACAGCCGCTCAGTCTTTTTGCCACTCACTGTGAGTAACGGCAGGCACTCCGGCTGACGGTGACGTCACGCACATTCTCATGACGTCACTGTTTTCACAAAACCGCGTTTTTGTTGTTTAAATGGAGACGATGATGGTATCATTTAACCCCCAAAACGCTGTTGTAATTGACTGACCAAAACACATAAAAAGTTGTACTTTTTTTTGTTGAAAACGGTGTAAACAGCTCATGAAATGATGTCATCTTCAGTACAAAGTGTCAACAGGTAGTGAAAAAGTTATTACTTTTCAATGCTTTTCTTTCCTTTTTTTTTCTTAACCATAAGGTTGAGTGATAGATGTCATTTTTTTCAGGAAAAGGTTCAGGGGTTTTTACATGTTTACATCACATCGGGGGTATTTACACTTGGACACTCAAAGACACATTTAAGACCGACAGAAATCCGATCTGGTGGCTTGAGAACCGGCCAAGTGTAAATCCATCTAGCTGTGTGCAAACTTTGCTCCTCCTAAACAGATCTGTGTCAGTGAACGAAGATTTTATGCGGCACATAACAGCTGTTATGTTTTGTCCCAAAATCATCAGAGCTAATTCCCCCACATCCTGCTTTCATGAGCTAGGCCTACATCAAGCACCGCAAATGTTGGTGCCCAGCACCAAGACACATTCATGTGGCCAAACGGAATGTGTATGCACAACTAGATAGCAATTAAAACGACGAAGACGTGTGACTAGACATAAACATGGTCAGAATCGAACAACGATCCCTCTGTAATGTTTAGAAACACAATACATGAAGGTAAGGAACTAAAGACTGTGCATGCTCAATGTCCTCAGAGATAAGAATACGGGCGGAAAAGAAGTGGAGTAATTAAAGTGACATTCTGAATGATTCCCAAACGAAAACACAGCCGAAGGAAACCGAGTGTGACATTTAGCTTGCACTGCAGTCTTGTGTGGCTTTACATTTTAGCTTTCTTGTCCTTCATCTGACTTTCAAATTGTGAAGCAAACAAAAGGCTTTGAGGTACATCTGGTTTATGTGACGGAGGTCTGGGTGATACTCCGCTGGCTGCTGGTACTTTTGATGACATAGGTGGAGGAGTTGCTCTTACGGGAATCTTGCTCCGGATCATAGCGGCATTGAGAGGACTTCAGATAGAGCGTGGAACAGCAAAGCAGGTTCTGCTTAAGGTCATGGAAGAGATGGCCAGCAAAAAACATGTAGATCCAGGGGTTACAGCAGCTGTTCAGACTGGCCAGCAGCATGGAGATGATAAAGGGCATTGCTGTAGAGGGGAAAAAACAGCTTTAACTAAATGTAAAGAGCAGAACACACATTGTATTCCAACTGTGTGGTCTTGCCTTAAATTAAATATTCTGTGCTGTCAGTGCTTTCATAATGGTTACCGAACCTTTAACATCCATCACATTTTCATTCCACAAAATGTATAGATTTAGCAGAAAAATGTTTTTGAGATTAAAAAAAAAAAGTTCTTCACACTAAGAAAACCTGTTCACTGAAATATTCTTTGGGGAACTAATATGGCATTACTGCAAAAATCCCCGAATCTATTTTTTAACTGTAAATCCATGTTTTGGGAGATGCTGATATTATTTGTTGAAATGACACACTTACACATTACATCCGCCTCTGCTGTCTTGTATAGATATTAATTAAACATACAGTGAAAACATTAAATTATATGAATAAGGATCATTAATGTTACAATTATTTTCTTAATGTGTTATACAAGCACAGATGAAAATGAATAAGTTCAATAATTGCACATGACCTCAATTTCATAGGGGGACTTTGTTATTCCACCTTAAAAAATAATCTGGTAGGAAATAAATATTCATCACACGCCGTTTCCTTATGCATGATCTTAACAAAAAAAAAGCAATTTTACAGAAGTGGAAATCTGAGTCGGTGCCCATATTTGAGAGTTGGCTCAGAGACCTAAGCCAAACCCACAGAAAACATTTCACACACTTGGTTTCACGGTTACAAATCTCACAACACAAACACACATTTAGGATGACAAACATTAATTATACAGCTAATAAAATCAGACATTCGTAAAAATGTGGCATCCAATAAAATCCTTATCCTAATCCTTGATTTATAACTTCTTAAGGGCTTTGTGGTCAATGAAAGGTGTGTGCTCTGTGTGATTCGACTCACACTGCCTGTTATCTTAACAAGGAACTGTAGTAGTACTTCAGACAATCAGGTTAATAAAGATGGTTACTGCCTTTTGTTTTTTTGTTTTAGTTCTTGTTAGTGTTAAAGTTACTGGGAACAAGTATTATCCTTATAGAAGTTAAGTGTCACTGGCAATTTTCTTCCTTTTTCTTCTCCCTTCTCCTTTTTAGCTAACTCGTTTTTCTTTGACGGGTATGAACAAAAAGTATATGGGCTGTTACAGTGTGTATGAATGGTGTGAGTCTAATGTGTGCTTTTGATTAAATGAAGTTGGGTTGTTGGTAAAATATTTGTTTGAATGTTGTAACTTATTCAAATATTTATGTTTTCTATGTGCCTTTGTTATTTGTATGTGATTCATTGACCGGAAATTTGCACCTGTAATGTTGAGATTTGTCCTTTTGGGGTCACCGTAGTTTTGCGCAAGGGGTGATGAACATTTAAGGTAGCTGGCGGTGTGAATGGGGAGCAGCTGCGTTTGAGCTTACATGTATTTTAGCTGAGATCTCGTGTTTTATTCGTGAACTTGAAACTTAACGCCCGTTTTATGACGGAAGAAATTATTATCAAAAGTTGTTTGGATTCCTTGGTGAGCGCAGCGAGGTACGATATCTGTTTTCATTCATTGATCATTCATAATATTGTCCGTATGGTTTTATTAGCTGTATAATTAATGTTTGTCATCCTAAATGTGTGTTTGTGTAGTGATATTTGTAACCGTGAAACCAAGTGTGTGAAATGTTTTCTGTGGGTTTGTTTTCAATACAGTTTTCACGGTGCTATGTTGATGACGTCATGGTTTGGCGAACTTAATAAAGGACACCTATGCATCTGTCGAGACTCTCTTTTTTTGGATCCAAGGGCTGCTACAGGTAGGTTTATAGTTTTCTTTAAATATAGGTGTATATACATGTTTTAAAAAAATAAATAATAATAATTATTTTGTAACACTATTTACTAATATTATTTACTTTATTTGTAATACACCTTTATGCGAAGGTATTCATAATATACGTTATACTGCATCATATCATAAATAATTGTAACCAAAGTTTAAATGCATTACAATGCACTCACCTTGTTACATCTGAAATTGGTTGTTCATTATTTGTTTGATGCATTATACTTTCTAAAGGTTTGCTCAATGAGTATATAAGTAATATAATGTATTATAACTGATTACACTAACTAATTACAAAGCATAATTAATTTATTAACAATACTTAACACTTTAGTTTAGGGTCCAATTATCACTTTTAAATAGTTGCTTAGCATGCATATTACTAGGATATTTTCCGTTTATTAGTATGTATAAAGCACATATTAATGCTTTATTATGACCAAATTCTACATCCCTTAATCTTACCCAATACATCTACCACACTATTAATAAGCAATATTTGGAGTTTATTGAGGCAAAGGTTAACAGTGAAAATTGGACCCTAAACTAAGTGTGTAACCAATAATATTTAGTTGTAAATAAAACAAAGATTAAACGTCTATGTTTTACAAGAAAATACTATTTAATCTCTCTACCTCAAAAATTCACGTTTAATTAAATGTTACTTGCAGTTTCTTTGTAATTATTTAAAAAATAAATTCAGAGTGAAAAATTGGGGTTATATTATTTTTCAGTATTTCCTGCCAAACTGATCATTGAGAGCTATTTGAGATTAATAATGTCCTGTATTTAACCTCATACAGAGCAATCCCTAAGATCTGATATTAGCACAGATCAAATGTAACTGAATGAGAGCAATCAGGGGAAGATGAAAACATTTCACTGGGAAGGCATTAGACATTAATTCAACAGTCATTTGCAAATGAAGGGATTTATTTTGGCTACAGTAATAAGGGTCTGTGCCACGATACTGTTTATCTTTAGAAGTCCAGAAAGGTAAAAGGAAAACAGGAAAAGCTTCAATGTCAGTCAGCACAGTGTCCAAAGCTCAGACATGCTTTATCACTATCTCCAATCTTGTAGGGATTTGAATACACAATGTGGCATTGAAAAACAATTGACGTGAGAAGCATGATGTCAGATCACTTCTTTTAAAAAAATAAAAAACAGTGTTTGTGGACTGTGGTTTAATCGTGCAATCTGTCACTGAGCTGTCCTTCTCAAAGATCTTATACAAGCAAGCAGGCATATATAGACAGAATAAACAACAGATTGTTTGCTAGCTCATGGCAATGCTGAAAGATCTGCTAAGCTAGAAAGCAGGAGATGATTGACTGAGATAAACTCATTTTGCTCCTATTTACATTAAAGCAATGAGCCAATCAAGGTCATTCATTACTGGGATTTTATCATCATGGGAAAGAGGTGTTCTCAGGCATGAGTAGAAGTGAAAACGTCTCGGTAACAGATGTAACCCTCGTTCCCTGAGAAGGTTATGTTAGGTTATGTTGTGTTATGTTAAAGTAACTATTAATTCAGCTATTAGTACGTTATTATTCATTTACTATTATTGTAAAGTGTTACCCATACACTGTTAGCAATGAATCTTTTTAGCTTGCACGATTTTGCCGAAATTTCACTAATGTGATCGTATCTTAAAACAAAAATTGGCAATCCCATGTTCAGGTATTTACACTTGAGGGGAAAAAATCCCAAACCTGCAAATAATATGCATATAGAAAACCAGATCACAAATCTGAGCACTAACATAGTCTGCATCCCCATTAGAATACTGACATGACTTTGCCATACTTGGGTAGTCCTCCTTGCATACCATTGTAATGATAAGAGGAAATGAGATGCAGGTGATAGTAATCAAAAGACTGATAAGTATTCTGGTGGTGAGCTGTGTGCTGAAATTAAACATGACATTACTATTGCGGTCTAATGTAAATGGGCTGTGAAATAAATTAATTCTCCTGCAAAAAGGATGACGCATGAGGGTAAAAAGAAGAATCTGATATATGAACCATGATTCCATCGAAGCCCTTTTCCCAAAAATCTTTCCGAAAATATACTGTGGTGCATTTTAAAACGAGTTGTCTGTAGCTGCGGCATTCGCATTAAGAATTGATTCATCAGGGCATAAATGCCCTGTTATGTCGTATTTACTACTAGGAAACCTTGAGGCAATTTTGATACCTGAGTTTTATAAAAAAAAAAAAACTTCAAACATGGCGGAGGAGAGAACGATTGCTGCTGTTGACTGGTATTCTTCTTTTTTTTTTCCCACAACAGCTATCGCCTTGTTTTGTCATTATAGTGCTTATTTACATGAATAACCATTTAAAACACATTTTATGATTTATACACCGCGAAAATAGCATGTACCGGTATTTGACACAATCTCTAGATCTAGATAGCTGTGAATGTAAACAATAGCGCTGATATTTTATTGAGTTATCAACAAATGGGACATTCTGGCTTAAATAAGATTTCCACAAGAAATAGGCAAGAATAAACTTGCTATCCTTGTGGTTCCTATTCTTCTCGACAATGTGAGCACTTAATGTAGAGCATAATCACGACTTCAGAAGTGGGAAGTAGGAATTTTCCAAAAGGATGTGAAAGCAGCATAATTCCCAATATTCAACAAACAACCATGACCATCACAGATTTTCAAGACCAAACCAGTAGAAAATTAAATTTGGAAAATTAAATTTACATTGAGCAAAGAGCACACAAATATCATATTAATGTTCTATACACATTGATTAAATAAGATTGACAATAACTTGTTTTTCAGAGTAGATTTTTGTGCACTTGTGAGGTCATTCGCATCAAACATCCAGACACAAAGTTTCTGGGTTTGATCCTTCAGTCTCTCAGAGTAAGGGTAATTGAATTTAGAAATGAAGGAGTAAGCAACAAACCCAGATAGGGCTCCAGTCAAGAGTATTGCTTTTCTGTTTGCTAGTTTCTACCTCCTAATTGTGCTGCTGAGCTCACATGAGTCGGAGAAAACTGGGCAAGCACTGTACTATAGGCAGTTAGATCAATGAACAGAGAGAGAATGAAATCCTTTAATAGGAAGCAATGAAAAAGATTTTCCAGCCTGCAAAGTGCTTTATTCTGCATACTTCATAAGATTTACAGAACATTTTAAATTGGATGCAAAGCTAAGGATGCATTTTAACTGGGATGCTAATATGATATACTTTTTTTCATCAGACCTTTTAAACACTGTTCAAATCACAGTCATTTTGAAATAATTTTTCAATATTCACCTATAGGCTGCTGGCTGCATTTATTTAATCAAAAATAGAGTGGAAAAAGTAATATTGTGAAATATTATTATTTAAAAGAACTGTTTTTCTATTTTAATTTCAAATACAATTTATTCCTCTGATGGCAAAACTGATTTTCAGCAGCAATCCAGTCCTCAGTCTTACATGATCCTTCAGTGATAATATGCAAAGTTGCAAACCTGTAATACATTTTATGGATAATTGGATTAATAGAAAGTTCAAAAGAACAGCATTAATTTTATTTTTTTTGTGGCACTAGAAAAGTCTGTACTGTATTTGTTCAGAGTCCTTGCTGAATAATAACTAAAAAAAATATTTCCGACCCCATACATTTGAACAGTAAATAGCGTGTATTTACAAAATTAAGATAAAATATCCATGCAACGTCATTTTAGAAGGCCAATACAGGTCAGTGAATGTCATTTGTCCAAACGTTTTACTGTTCAAAAAAGGTGAAAGACTTAGTGGAAAGCTGTTTTTCCCTTGTAATTCAATTAAGAGAGATGAGAACAAAACTAGCGGCCATTGCCAAACTAAACGGCCTGAAAATAAAGCAAGTTCAACAAGAAGTGGCTGTTTTCTTAGCCAAAAAAAAAACCATATTGTTGCACACTTTTGGGGAAATGTCATTAGTAACTGCATTCCACTATGGCTGTGTCAGCCACTGTTCAGGCATAAATATATTCAGAGTTGTCTTAATATTTAAACTTTGAATGTTGTGCTGAACTTGCCATGATGTGTGAATAATCATGGTTATATGTTTTGTGCAACACTATCTCACGACCAATTCGTACGAATTCGACGCATGATTAAAAAGTGGCTAATTCGTACTAATTCGTACGACCTCACTCGTACTAATTCGTACGATTTGTCTAAACCCACGTGATGGTTAGGTTTAGGGGCGGGGTAAGGGGTAGGTCATTCGTACGAATTCATACGAATGGGCCAATTCGTAAAATATGTACGATTTAGCAAAATCGTATTAATTCGTACGAGTGAGGTCGTATGAATTGTTACGAATTAGCCACTTTTTAATCATTCGTCGAATTCGTACGACTTGGTCGTGAGATCGGGTTGGTTTTGTATGGTCGAGCAGGTCATGATGCAAGTCTCACACTCTCTTTCCTCTGAGTCTTATAACATTTCATTTTTCTCTCTGAAGTGTGACATGACCGTACTCTCTTTATTGCAGGACAAACATGGTAAATCTCATGGCGAGGACATTGCTCACTGACATTTTATTGTCAAACACACTAGAGAAGCCATGGAGTAACCTTGTAACTCTGAGTAATCCAATTTCTGAGCAAACCTACGAGTTAAAAATCCATCAATTACTATTTTTAAATAATGTATTGTTTATAAGCTCAAAAGTTTTAGGGTTCCTCAATGTCTTTTGTACTAAAAAGATGGATTTTGTGTGCATGTAAAAACAAAATGACTATTTGTAAATAATTTTTCGAGCACATAATGTACAGTATTAATATCATATAGAGGCATCAAGCTTTTATTCAAAACAACTGTTATTTATCACCAGTATGTTTTTTTTGTTTGGGTGATTTCTCATACAGCAGACGGTCATGATTTAAGCGGTGTAGCTCTTCTGAATATTAATGCTTTCCCGAGGCCGGCCTTTATAGCTTTGCTGTTTGTAGCGGAGTACATCTGTAGTGATTTAAAAGTAAAATGCCCACCAAAGCAATCCTAGATCTGGACTGATAGAACATTAGTCATCTTATTCAATGAATTACAATGAATTAAAACCAGCTTCTTTTCTTTTGCCTTGAAAAGAACACTTGAAAGTAGACAATCAGGAACCATCTCACATGAACTCATTAGGCTACCATTTTAATTTTGTAAGCTATATCTTCACTCTGTAGTAGGCTACCAGACTGATAATTGTATTAAACTTTAAACCATGTGAACATGAGAATAGCTTAGCATGTTCAAGTATTGTATGAAAATAAATCAGTCTAGAAGAAAGTGAGATGGGGAACGTTGATAGCGAACAGCCTTCCTAATTGGCCAACAAACTGACATAGTGTATAGGCTAGAATCCCTTGCTTAATTAGTAAGGGTGAATTCAGGTAGATTGGGACACTTTTTGCCATCGAGATTGCTGGCTAAAGATATACTGTATGTAAGTTTCTTTATTTTATCTGTTTCATTTGTTGACTGATATTTTACAAATATCAACCTTATTTTTTAAATTTAATTTTGTTTATGATTAACGATTATGTTTATGAAAAAACACTTGTGATTATTATTATTAATGCTATAATTATTAATCATTAAAAAGTTGGATATTATAAAATAAAAAAACTCTAATATATCATAGATAGATAGATAGATAGATAGATAGATAGATAGATAGATAGATAGATAGATAGATAGATAGATAGATAGATAGATAGGTTTAGTAGAGGTGTGGGGTGCGTGTAGGCTATTACACCCAATAAAGTGCGTATCATATGCACGCAAAAACTGTATCATATGCATGCGTATAAAATTGCACGATAAACAATGCGTGATGTAGAGATGCTTTTTTTCATGAGATGGATGGATGGATGGATAGATAAGAATATCAAAAAGGTATTTTTTTAAACTAAGAATAGACCTAGACCGAGCATCTGTAAGTTCAAGAAATGTAGTTCCAGAGAAGCAAAATTGGAGAGGGAAAACTTTTTGTAACTGATCCCAAAAATATAGCAATAAATGAAAAATCCACAGACTAAAAAATTGTTAATCGAACTTCCCTCACCAATGGCATAAACTACCCATAACAAATCTATGTGCCCTCCCTCGTCTCCATGTAAGCAATTTCGCATCTGGGCCTGCAGATAAAACTCTTATCAAACTGTTCAAGAAACTTACCTTCCCTTGGTGCTTCAGGATCCCATGCTGACCACATCTGTACGGAGAAAAACGGAGTCCAGCACACTATATAAGCCAGTACGATGACAAAGGTCATTTTAACAGTGGTGATTTTGGCCTTGGAAATAAGTTTGACGCTGCTGACCCGCGTGAGCGCGCTGCTTTTCGACGCTTTGGTTGTGAGAGTGATACACGGCTCCTTCTTCGTCTTCCTTTTAAAGTTTTGCCATATTTTAAAGCTTATAAGTCCGTAGCAGACACTCAGAATGGTCACTGGTATGATGTATATTGTCAGACTAATCCATGTAATGTAGGCTTTCGCTCCCCATGGCTGCACGAAATCTCCCCAGCAATCATATACTCCTGGACCCACCTCACGTAAGGAGAAAATATAAACCTGTGGGATGCTAAAAAGTAAGCTCAGTGCCCACGAACAAATCACGTAACAACGGTCCTTTCGCTTGTGTAAAGAACGGAGTGGCTGACAGATTGCCATACATCTGTCTATGGACATCAAGACCAGCATGTACGTTGAGGCGAACATCCCAACGGTCTGAAGATATTTCACCAACCTGCACAGTATGTCTGGCCCATAAAAGCGAAATGTGATGTCCCAGATGAGCTGAGGAAGAACCTGGAAGACAGCCACGACCAAGTCTGCGATGCTGAGGTGCTTCATGAAGTAATACATGCGAGATTGACTGTGCTTGGCGGTGTGGATTGCAATAAGGACGCAAAGGTTACCGGCGAGTGCCAGGAAGAGCACCAAAGACAGTACAGTAACTTCCACTTTTGCAACCTCTTCGTTCCGCTTCAGGGGGTTCACGCCGTAAGTTTCATTGGTGACGCTGGAGTTTCTAGTTGTCTCATTGAAAGACCAAATGATGTCCTCCATGGTGCCAAAAGCGCACACCTTCTTCTCCACAAATGTCAGAGAACTGATTATTTTTCCTTGCGCATAATTAGCCAGTATAGGCAGCCTTTCATCTTTGGCACTATGAGGATCTCAGGGAACAGGGAAAGCCCTTTGCTGCTCGGTGATGATCCCTCAGTTGTTCTCAACCTTTACTGTGAACTATACACACAAAAAGCATTAGGCTATATATACAAAAAAAAAAAAAAAACTATTGTAATCCAGCACATTTATCCTTTATTTTACAAATAGCCTTATAAGCATGTTTTTTTAAATGAATAGATAATATAGTATAAAAATATAACTTAGTAGTATTTTAACATTGCAAATATATTTTAACATTGTAAATATAATTTTTAATGTGCAAGTACTTACAATTATTGTGCATTTTGGTGTAAAGCAGAGTCCAGATGTGGAGAACCTCCTTTGCTCTCACTCGGCTCGCACTGAATGGAGCGCGTCACGATATCACCACTTATACATCTTCTCAATGGCTCTCCTTACCCAAACATACCTATGATTTCCACTAGGGGTCCGTGTGCTCTATTGCAAATCAGTAAGCTCCTCTGAAACGGTCCTAAAAGCCTGATTTTTTTTTTTTTTTTTCCAGTGCTTTTTTATTTTTTGCATGTTTACTGCCTTAATAATTTTTCTTTTTGGTAAGGGCATTTATGATGAAAATTAAGCTATGTTTAGAGCAAACAAAAAAAATATGATGGGAATAGAGCAGAATCAGGAGAAATTTTCTTTTTTGTAAAGGAAATAATATAGAATATCGGTAACAATTTACATTAAGGTTCATTAGTTAACATGAACTAAGAACGAACAATAATTTTTCATCACTTAGTTACTACTAATTTAAACATTTACTAATACATTAATAAAACCAAAGGTTGTATGACTAACCTGCTGTATTTGTATTATCTAACATTAAAGATTAATAAATACCATTACAAATGTATTGCTCATTAGTTCATGTTAGTTAACACATTAATTAACCTTATTGTAAAGTGATACCAAAATATCCTTTAACTAAATGAGGTTAGATAAATATAAGACATCTTTCTTAAGTACATTAACACAAATATTAAACTCATTCGTACAAAATATCAGCCGGAACTGTTATCATTGAATAACATTTATCTTTGGTGGCATGTGAGAGGTTGCAGATCATGTTTTGAATATCCACCTCAAGAAGACTTATTAGTATGCCCCAAACAGGCCTTATCACACTCCATCAATTGAATGCCCGAGTCCTGATCTGCGTCAGCGTCTCTCAGTGGACGCGCTGCATACCAGGGTCGGGAGGATTTCTGAAAGTCAACACGCTTATAAAATAGTGTCGACCGAGAAAGGACATCAACAGTCAGTTACGGAAATTACATTATCATGTCAGACGATAACATGTTTTCATAACTTAGAATTTAAAGTAGGCCAATGTATTGGCAAAATGTGTTGTTACTCTTTTAAATGCAGGCCTATGTATGTTTTCTATTATGAATAAACAAAGAACATGTGTGTTGCTCTCAAAATATGTTGCTAGTCTGTCTGTGATATTGAGAGAATTACAATAAATGGGCTATAATAGTTCAAAGTTAAAGGAGTAGTTCACTTTTTTTTTAAAAACCTTTTGCCGATAATTTTCTCACCCCCATGTCATTTATGATGTCCATGTCTTTCTTTCTTCAGTCAAAGAAATTAAGATTTTTGATGAAAACATTCCAGGATTTTTCTCCAAATAATGGACTTCAATGGGAACCAAACGGTTCAAGGTCCAAAAGACGGTTTCAGTGCAAACCGCAAACTCTTCAAAGGGCTTTAAACAATTCCAGACAATGAATAAGGGTCTTATCAAGCGAAACGATCGCTCGTTAAAAAAAAAAAAAAAGTTTAAGTTTTATAAGCTCAAATGCTCGCCTTGCTCTGTTCTGGGATGCGCATTCGTGACTCTCCTGTTCGAACTCGTTCATCAAAATGAACAAATCTTTTTCCGAGTCAATTTGTTCATTTCATTCATTGAATCAACCAAATGAAATGAAAAAAATATTCGTTCATTTTGATGAACAAATTCGAACAGGAGAGTCACGAACGTGCATCATAGAACAGAGCAAGGCGACCATATGAGCTTATAAAACTTAAACTTTTTTTTTTTTTTTTTTTTAAATGAGCGATCGTTTCGCTTGATAAGACCTTATTCATCGTCTTGAATCATTTAAAGCCCTTTGAACAGTTTGCACTTAAACTGTCTTTGGTTCCCATTGAAGTCCATTATATGGAGAAAAATCCTGGAATGTTTTCATCAAAAACATTAATTTCTTTTCGACTGAAGAAAGAATGACATGGATATCTTGGATGACATTGGGGTGAGTAAATTATCAGCAAAAGTTTTTAATGGATGTTATAACAAAGAAAAAAATCTGTCTGTTAAGATCACCAAATTATCATTATAGATTGACACTGTGCAATCAATCGACCTTGCTAAATCAATCGACTGTGACTGTCACTCATAACACCCAACGTGTCAAACAGGTCAGCTTCAAGAGGAATAAATGTTACAGCAACATTCATGTTTTTCATCCCCACTGGTGCTGCACTGGTATCTCACCATCACTTATTTTTGGACGTCACAGAACCTTGAATATCCCATATGGCCATTGCAAGAAAATGGTTTGTTCGACTTTGACAATCTAACATCTTACCTATTTTAAACAATGGCCACCAGCCCTAAATCTAACTCATTGAAAGGAAAGGATGTTGTGCAAAGTGAACAGTGTTTTATTGCATGGCAAGTTCATTTGAATTAAATCACTTTGCTTTGTTATGTTCCAAACAAAATTCATGCCTCCAGCACCTTAGGTGATAATATGCATAAGCCAGCCCAGCTGCCATATAGCAAGTAGGTTCAAAGAATCCCTGTCGCAGTGCTGAGAGAAATCTCGCTGAGGCCACAAAGAACAGTAAATTACTCCCGTCAGTGGAATCTCTAGTTAAATATCAAGACGCTTCCTGCTGTACAGTGGCAAAGTTTAAGTCACTGAATGGAGTGCGCATGTCATCTTCAGTTTTAAACATTTTTTTCCGATCAGCTTGTGTGGAAAGAAATGCACAAATTGCCCAGCTTAACAACATTCGATACTCATGGAGAATCATTGCTCCAGTAAATGGCACGCAGTAAGGCTCATAATTGGGATAATAACACCATCAGTACCACAGCAGCATCCTAAAATCTTATTTGGCCAGCAAAGAAGGGGTCTGAATGCGACTGCAGTCACCTTAGATAATCACTGTTTTGAGCTTCAAAAACAGTCTGGCTTCTTCAACAGAAAATAGCAGGACCTGGCTGACCCTATAGGAGATGTATTTTTCTGACTGCACTGTTTATTTACAGCAAAGCTCACTCATTATTCTCAGTGGTTGCAGTGGCGGAAGGGAACAGACCTGGTCTTCTTCTAGAAATTTTAAACAACTCGTTTAGTTTTCAAACAGCAGTCAATTGCATGAGAGTCGGTAAAAAAAGGATTTTTTTTTTTTGCTTGTCGAAGATTTTTATAAATGTTCTTAAAAGGAGTAGTTCACTTTTGAAAAAACTTTTTCTGATAATTTATTCACCCCCATGTCATCCAAGATGTCCATGTCTTTCTTTCTTCAGTCGAAAAGAAATTAAGGTTTTTGATGAAAACATTCCAGCATTTTTCTCCATATAATGCACTTTATTGGGAACCAAACGGTTCAAGGTCCAAAAGACAGGTTCAGTGCAAACTGTTCAAAGGGCTTTAAACGATTCCAGGCTATGGGTCTAATTTAATTTTAATTAATTTAATGAGCGAAACGATCGCTCATTAAAAAAAATAAAATAACAAACTTTAAGTTTTATAAGCTCAAATGCTCACCTTGCTCTGTACTGTGATGCACGTTCGTGACTCTCCTATTCGAACTTGTTCATCAAAATGAACTAATCTTTTTCTGAGTCAATTCATTCGTTGAATGAACCAAATGACTCGGAAAAAGATTAGTTAATTTTGATGAACGTGTTCGAACAGGAGAGTCACAAATCTGCATCACAGAACAGAGCAAGGCGAGTATTTGAGCTTATAAAACTTAAACTTTGTTTTTTTTTGTTGTTGTTTTTTTGTTTTAAATGAGCGATCGTTTCGCTTGATAAGACCCTTATTAATCGTCTGGAATCATTTAAAGCCCTTTGAACAGAAAGTGTCTTTTGGACCTTGAACCGTTTGGTTCCCACTGAAGTGCATTATATATGGAGAAAAATGCTGGAATGTTTTCATCAAAAACCTTAATTTCTTTTCGACTGAAGAAAGAAAGACATGGACAACTTGGATGACATGGGGGTGAGTAAATTATCAGCAAAGGTTTTTTGAAAAGTGAACTACTCCTTTAAAGCTGTTTTCATTTCTAAAAAAAAAAATCATTATTTTTACAGCATGTCTCCTCTATCAGCGTTATGATTTGTATTGGCTCGTTATCATTGAACAGTGAGCCTGGTTTTCATTATCTTCCCTGGCACAACTCTACCATAATTTAATTTTCAAATTTTATTCCCTTTGCCAGGTATAATTGGTTAAAAAAAACGATGTTAAGAAAGTATCTGGACATGGTCAACCGTCCCATAATAAAACAAATAAATGGGAAAATGTATCAAATTAGAATTAAGTGAAGATACACAGGCCAGAGGGTTTATTTATTTGTAAATGTGTGGTTTGTGCTGTACAAAATACAAAGCATATGAAATAATGAAGTGAGAAAGAGATATTCTTTAATGTTCTGTCAAATAAAATAAATAGTCAAGCCAAAAATGGCACAATATTTGCTAGCACTTTAAGTGAAGGGGTGTGCATAAGACTGACATTACACCTTCACAATCATGGCATGGCACGTCATGAATATGAAGTAGGTTTCTGCATGTTTATAGGTGTCATTCACTCAATTATGACATTTTAATGCAAATATGACATTGTTTGAGATGTTTTGGTAAGACAACTTGACAAACCAATACATCATATAACCCTTAATGGTCTTAACCAACAAAAAATTAGCAAGACGCTCACAAATTCTGTAGATAGTGTAACTCGGCAAGGAATAGCCTTTTCTATTTGTTTTCTTTAAATGTTTAGGCTGTGTGTGTAAACTTGCAGACAGCTTTTTACATGAAGAAGAGTCCCTGTTGTTTCATCCACTCATTGCTAATGGCTTCTAACAGTTCACAAGTATTTGAAAAATGTCTCTAAGTTAGTTTGAGTTTTATGTGTGACCAAATATTCAATATAGGGTTTAAATCTGGACTCTTGTATTATTTTCACGCATCACTGTGAAGCTGATTTGATACAATCTGTATTGTAAAAAGCCTTATATAAATAAAGGTGACCAGTGTTGGGAGTAACGCATTACAAAAGTAATACATTACATATTACTTTTTGCTGTAACGCAGTAAGGCATTACTAATCAATTTTCAGTAATATTTTACTCGTTACATGTTCAGTGAGGCTTGTATTACAGTT